ACAGCATAAAACAAAGCAGTTTTCCCTTTATTATCCCTTTTGTTGACATGAACACCTGCATCGATTAACATACGAACCACATTTTTACTGTTCCGATCCCTAACAGCGTAAAACAAAACAGTTTTCCCCTCCTTATCCGTTTCGTTGACATCTGCACCAGCATCAAGTAATATACGAACAATATTTTCATTGTACGGTTTTACAGCAGCATAAAACAAAGCAGTTTTTCCTTCGTTATCCTTTATGTTTACATCAGCACCATCATCAACCAATGCACGAACTACACTTTTATTGTAAATTCGTTGGACAGCATAGAACAAAGCAGTTTTTCCTTCGTTATCTTTTATGTTCACATCAGCACCATCATCAATCAATGCATGAACCATATTTTGATTGTGAATTCGTCGAACAGCATAGAACAAAGCAGTTCTTCCCGTATTATCCGTTTTGTTGACATCAGTACCAGTATTAATCAATGCACGGTCCATACTTCCATTGATATCCACACTAGCATAAAACAAAGCGGTTTTTTCATTCACTTATCAGATAGAGTACAAACACTAAAACTGCACACTAAAAGTGTGCAACATAAATATTACTATATAAATATTTGTTATTTACCGGCCAGGAGGTCCGGATAGGGAAAAACTGTGGCCAAGGTCTTGAATATACGGACCGAGGGCACAGTTTTTCCCTATCCGGACCGACTATAGGACGGTAAATAACTTATTTGTTTTTTTCCCGTATTTTTTTACTTGTTTTTGTAATCGTTTTGTTTTGTTGTTTAGCGGCAAAGGATACCGGACCGCGCGCGTGGGCAGATACTGATAAGATACCGCCCGCTCAACCAGCCAATCAGAACTCACCATTTTTTAGGATACTGTACATAATGACTGTTTGGCCGTGAGACAAACAAATTAATGGCGGACGAAAATAAATCGTAAAATTTTGGCACTTTCCTTTTGAATATCAGAAAGATATTTCAGTGAGTGGTTCTCAATGTATTCAAGATTATTTCAGCAAAGTTTCAGCTCGAATGAAAGAGTTTTTTAATTTTGGAGCGCTTTTCGTCCAAGTAGCACCTTAACGCCGACACAACAAAGCTCCTATTTATTATTAGCATCACTGTTAACGCATCACAATGGCCGCCATGCTTTTTACTTTTAAACTTTCCTGGGGAATGGCTTGCAACCCACCAGGCGAATTGATATAAATATGTACTTACCTTACTTGGTCTTACTTTCTTGTTTCTTTTCGTTTGCTCTCTTGTGGCTTTCAATGATAAGAGATTGTTGTCTTCGTCATGTCTTCATCAAGTCACTTTTCGCTTCCGCTTGAGAGCTTTATTAATCTAACGTTTTCAGAGGAAAATTATTCTTTGGTATATATGGCATATATATGTGCGTATGAAGAATATATATGAAATATAAATTTGTACTGCGGTTGTAATGTATCGAATTGAGGTGATCCTTTCAGCATATGAGGCAACATATGAGACTTGGTAGCTCAGTGGTTAGAGCATTTCACCGGAATCGTGATAGCACGGGTTGAAATCTTTTTTCTGAGTCTTTCAATTTGCAGCTGCATAAGATGCTTCATATACTGCGAGGATCAGCTCAATTCGATACATTACAACCACAGTACAAATATATATCCTCATGCACATATATAAACCATTAACTTGCCAACCAGTCTTCTTCACAATCGCTTTACTGTTTTATTATTATTGATATAAATATGTACTTTCCTTACTTGGTTTGTCTTGGTTTGCCGGTTCTTGTAACTTGAATGATAAGAGATTTATATATTCGTCATCAAATCACTTTTGACTTCCGCGTTCCTGTACTTTACAGTTCCCCTCTTAGTCCAAGATTTAGAAGCACATAAATATATCTTCTATAAGGTAGCTTTAGAAACCTTGCTGTGCTAATGTCTTTGGAGAAGCAAAGAGGTAGATGGATTCTAAGAATTCATGATATTACCGTTAATTCACTAGCATTTTTGAAAGTTGATGTTGAGCACTCTTCTCACTAAATAATGAATTTGTGTCACTTTCTATCATTTCACAGCCATAGCAAACTCTTTTGATTGGTTTCTGCATGTTAACAAACTTTTCGTAGTTGAATGGATTTAAAATTTACACCAGCAGGCATCATTACCGTACAATAGAGTTTGTGATCACGAATATTCCAGTGGAATCAACACCGCTTTTGTAAGGATAAACAAGAAATATATCGAAATCAGTTTTTATTTAGAGAGGGTGCCAAATAAGTGAGAATTGTCAGTTATCTTTAGAAACCTAGCTCTAGGCAAAAGTCAAAATTGAATTCCAACTAAGGAACAAGCTACGAAGCCTAGATATCTTAGGAGAAAAATCAGATGTTATCAACAACCGTGGGAATGAGTGATTGTGATTGGCTGAGCTCAATATGATACTGTTTTTGCTATTTCCAAATTGGCTAAATACTTTTTCATCTTAGTTTTCGTTCAAGTGGTCCCTGTTCGTGTTACAGTAAAACCTCGACAATTTGTTTTTCCAATGAATTGAATAGTTTGCACCCGCGAATATGCGAATTGAAGCTTAAAAATAGCACATTGAGAAACCCCCATCGAGCTACCTTAAATCATTGTTATTCAAATAAAGAAACGATTCAATTTTTTCAATCTTACTCATCTTGTTTTTCATGAGCCAGGATCACAATGCATTATTTGTGAGAGCGAATATCTCCTAGTGTTTACTATTTCTGCTTGTCAAAATGAAGTATTTTTCACTGATAACAACACAATATACTATTCCAAGAGAAAATGAACTAAGAGAAGGAATCCCCGTGCCCCATCATGTGCACACTTTGATGCTATTTTTAGGATCATTGATGTTTTTTTTAGGATCATTGATGCTATTTTTAGGATCATTGATGCTATTTTTAGGATCATTGATGCTATTTTTAGGATCATTGATGCTATTTTTAGAATCATTGATGCTATTTTTAGGATCATTGATGC